AAACAGGTTACAAACTAAACATAATTTTCCAATCGAGAGTGGTACCAACAAAGAACCTCCATGGTGCGGGATGACGATACAATGAGTTTGCCTTAAAATGCCTCGATCCAGAAAAGGTGAAATTGAACCAAAGAGAACTGAGTTTAATCACCAGTGATCGCATTTGGCAGTAGGATGATGCACTTCATCAAAACGCTGGTCACGTTTAATCACGAAAAGTTCTGATGCATCTTAGTGTCAAAACTGAAAGTTTACAACCACTGTCAATTNGTGAACAGAATTGCTCGAGGAGCCGTTTATCCTCTCATAGTCTAAGGTAGTCTCCCTAAGAAAAGGAATACCATAAGGCACTGAACTACAGTTACATAAAAATGCGGGTGATTTTGAAAAAACATTCTTGCAAGCGCTTGTCGGAAGAAAAAATTTGCATGTAGCACAAATGTAATAGAAAGCTTATGGGAAAAAAAAGGGAAAACACGCAGCTGGCACTGAGTTACAAACAGGTTACAAACTAAACATAATTTTCCAATCGAGAGTGGTACCAACAAAGAACCTCCATGGTGCGGGATGACGATACAATGAGTTTGCCTTAAAATGCCTCGATCCAGAAAAGGTGAAATTGAACCAAAGAGAACTGAGTTTAATCACCAGTGATCGCATTTGGCAGTAGGATGATGCACTTCATCAAAACGCTGGTCACGTTTAATCACGAAAAGTTCTGATGCATCTTAGTGTCAAAACTGAAAGTTTACAACCACTGTCAATTTTGTTATCTACTAAAGTGAAATGAATATTGCTTTTTATAGAATACAAATATAATCTAATCTTGTCGTCAATGACTTCCGATCATCAATTTCCCCCAATGGCGATCCTAAGTCAAAATTATTTTTCTCTCGGTTTTTTACCCTAAAGCTTCAGTTGTCCAATAACTTATTATTTTATTAGGTCTTTGAGTTTATGACAATTTCCAAACGGTTGTTTGTGGCATATCCATTTGATAGCCTAGGAGTTTTTAAGAAATTAAATTGTAATCAGATTGTGGGAAGACTACGCTTTGGGCTATCGAATGAGCAGCCGTTCAATGCTCAGTGTTTTCATGCTTTTTTACCACGCTAGTTCTAAATTTAAGGAAAAACGTAGATGGCAGAATATTTTATTGAAGTATTTGTATACAGGTCTATCGAGCTATTGAATCTTACTTGCTTTAAAAATTTAACTTCACACTCATATTTTAATATAATGCGTTGCAATAAAACGTAAAATAAGACGTAACCATTTTAAGGTTTTCTGTCGCTCCTCTCTCAGGCCAAAGATCGCTAAAATAGAAAACTATTTATCATATTATATGATTATATAATAATTGATCATATTGTACTGTTATGTTAACGTGTTTAGGCGATGGTTAGAAAAAGTAAGGGCAAAACGACACCTTTTTAGATCTTCATTTCAGATATTTCGCGCCTGTCCGACCCTTTCGGATGGTTAAATGGCACAAGGCTTGCCACTTTGTTAAGGCGCTTCAAAAATAAAGCAACAAAATATGGCTTGTCTGTTAAGTGATAGTAGCGAAGTACCAGCGATCAGAAAAATGCTCTACATATACATGTATAATTAACTTTTTAAAAATCACTTCTTCACTTCTGTTTTATATATTTATTACTTAAAGAAAACATCTACACGTAATTGATGCTTGGGGAAGTGTATGTATAACTTTAAATATATAGTCAGTGTATTTTAACACGATATAGAAGGAGGTAAAATTCGCCAAATTCGCAATAGATATCATTTGAAGCTAATTGATTACCTACTTGACAAAATAAACCCTAGTCTCAAAGTCTCAGATTAATTAGTTTTGAAGCTTTTGACTGCATTACACAGTCTTCTTCAATAAACGCTCAGTGTTGTCACGTGAATAAGTCACGTGACAACAAATGATTAAAATCATAACCTCCACCTCCATTTAGGGTTGAACGATGGCATCTGATATGGATGGCCTCCTCCTCTTACATAATTATCCTTCGCCGATGTACTAACACGAGGTGAATACGTTTTCATAGAAATAAAAAATATGACATAAATCTTATGTATAACGGAGTACCCGTGGATGGAATTCAGCTTACTTTACTTTCATTAACGGTCACTTAAACAAACACAAATATCATAGGCAGATATACTTTTAGTAGAATCGTACGTTCATCTAGCCACAAATTAAATGCCGCTAGCTGTTGCTTTCGGAACAGACAACAAAATAGTCATCATATTGTACCTACCTTGGTTGAAAAAGGGGCTAAGGGGATCCTTTGGAAAACAGTCAGAGATAAAAAATAAAATCTGTCTGAGTGATTGACCAAGTAAATATGTAACAAAGAACCGTGTCAGCATTGATTTCATGCAGCAGTCAGCTTACAAGGGCAATGTTGTGATATTGCATTCAAAATGCACGCGATATCTCGACAGGCCAGTATTTTAAAGCACTTTTATTGCGGCATTAAAACTTAAATGAAGGCGCATAGATCGACACAAAAAGGCAGAAATAGACAAATGAAATGTTTGAAAGAATTGCTGGAGATGAATCCTAATCAAAATCAGATAACACGACCCAAACAAGGCCACAGACTCGCTCCCAGAGTCAATGAAAGACATTGACAATTTAGATAATTACTGAAATGACGCCTCATTCATGGTTGTGATGTTCATTCGCAATATATTTTATAACGTCTAGCAATTTAACGCTCGAGAGTACAGATATTTATATTCATTTTGCAAATCCATAACAAACAGCAACTCACGCGAGGTTTGTTTGTCCAATTCGGTCCCTTCTCATAAGGATCTAAAGATTGGAGAGAGTTGGTGATGACACCTCCAGGAAAATGAGAACCATCACACAAGGAAACATCATGACGCATGCATTTTTGTGATATTCAACTGACATATTAATATTTTAGTGCGTCAAGTACTTTAACAATCGAGAATGCAAAGTATGAAAATTCTGACGAGGCTTTTCCTATATTTAGATTTTAGTCTTGCAAATACAGGGACGGAGGAGCCGGGGGGAGGACGGGGGGGCTGCCCCTTACTTTTCTAGAGGAAAAATGTTTTTGTTTAAGTATAAGGTACATGCTGTAAGCACTAGAAGTACCTGTCATTTTACACCTTATCCAGGTTGAGGTTGTTAACGGAAATGTCTCATTGAGAATGTTGAAAATGCCATTTCCGAGCCTGTAGATTTCAAAAAGTTTATGAGGGAGAAAACCACCCCCTCTAACAAACTCGCGTCTCGAGTTTTCAACGCCGCCCCCCCCCCCCCACCCCACAGTTGAAATTGCGTTCCGCCGTCCCTGAAATGTCAGCAGAAGTGCTTTGCCAGCGATAAATTTCAAATTGACAGGCAATTAAAAAACAAATAATAATGACGATAATCAATAAATTTTCAAAAATAGCTTTTTTATTTTTAATTACAGAAATATGGAAAATAAGAGGTATCTGTTGATATTGTTATGAGCCTGCGAGATTAGTAAAACCGTGCAGAGGCGCAAAATTGTAAACGATTGTAATTAATACACACGTAGGACCCACCATCTTTGTTCATGTTGGTTTTGTAACGCAGTGAAATACATGTAAGGTGTTATTTGTGTGCTCTACTGCCTGAAAACAGCGCTTATGTGCAATTTCATTGAATGACCAAGTTTAAAAGCGTTAATGGTATGTCTTTAGAAACTTCCTATTAAAAGAAGTTAACCAAACACAAGCTAAAGTATATACGCCAGCAAGGCCCCGTTTACATGAGGAAACGTTTTTACCGGGGAAGAGGGTCACCCTCCCAGCCGAGAAAACATTAGCGAGCGTTTACATGAGAAAAATGTTCACCCTTTGTCCAAGCCAACAGCGCTCGCGCATGCTCTGATGGTCTCGCCTTGACAAGCCAATGTGTTTATACAAGAGAGGATAAAGGGGAAAGAGAAGGCGTCCCCCATACACACCCTATTCCATAGGTAATTCGTCTCGAGTTATTTTTAGAATCGGGATAAAGTTACCTCGTGCGCTGCGTGGATGTTTCGTGGAGGTTTCGCATGACTAAACGCCGTGCAAAACATGTCGGGCGAAAGGCAATGAAAGCGTAAAGAGATCGAGAGCATTTCTGAATATTGAAGCGGAATGAGTCGGCGCTTTACTGGGAAAAGGGAATCGCTGGACTCTTTGACAACCCGTGAAATCAGTTTAACTCGAAGTTGTCGTAACCTCGGTGCTTTAATAAAATAAGAAATTTCGCCGGTCTATTGAAACCGGTCGTTTGTACAATAAAGCAAGTAGGACGCCAAGTGTTATTTTTGTTGAATAATAAAAGACTTATAAAAGAATAAATATCAAACCAGAAATTGCTCTATTCAGTGTGTTAAGGATTTCCCTGCTGTACTGTTAGGTCTATACAAGAGGGGAAGGACGATTCTTTTTTTAATTTCCATTTCGCTGACAGCGCTTAAGTAGAAATCTCTCTTTAGTCGTTTCCGTCGAGAAAACGAATAGCAATATCGCTCTCCGCGTCTTCCGCCATTTTTTTCTGCGTCAATTCGTGAAGGACGCGTGGCTCTGAGCGTGGGTCATCCTCGCGGAACACATTCGCGCTATGTGATTGGCTGTTGTTTAATCTCCCTTGGGATCTGTCGTCTTAAAAATAACTCGAGACGAATTACCTATGAAATAGAGTGTGTATGGGGGATACCTTCTCTGTCCCCTTTATCCTCTCTTGGTTTATGTGATTGTCTCGGCGATGACCCTACCATCTTTTTGTTTTTCATGTAAACAGTTCTCCAAGTTTTTTTTAAAGGAATTATAAGAAAAGTTAGCTGTTTCTCGCTCTTGCTCCAAGCAGTTTTTCTCCTGGTACTCCATTTTTAAATCGTAATTTATTTAATATTCAAATCCGCACATCCAGTATTTCATTAAAAGTCTTGACACTGATGTAGATGAAAAAATGCCACTTGTATTTGTTGACAGCTAAGCTATAAGTTTCTACTGCTGACTATACCAGAAATGTTTGCACTATTATAAGGGTTGAGAAAGTCTACTGCCCGATAGGTCCTACAACATAAAGCACCCCTGATATGTTGGCGAAAGTTTGCGCTGTGGAGAGCATAAATAAAAGGATTCATGGCTGAATTAAGACCCACAAGTACAACAGAAATTATGAATGAGTATGAACTGTAACCGTAATTCCCTGGTTCGAATTGAGACAGCATATAAACTACCAAATTTGGTAGCCAGCATACAGCGTACATAATACTGACGACAGAAACCATTTTGGTCACCTTTAGTCTTGCACGGACTCTGGCCTGTTCTGACACAACTGTTGCTTGAATACCTGTTTTCCAAAGTTTATATAGAACTCGTAGATACAGAAACGCCATGGCGGCGACCGGAATGGCACCATAAGTAAAAAAACATACAACTGTGTACGCTTCACCAAGCTGTCTCTTTGGCCAACGCTCCACACACTGAGAAGTCCTGTTATCAAAGAAAAGCATAAAGAACAACGGAGTGTTCAAAACTAAAGCAAAAATCCAGGAAGCTGTTATAAACAACGTTAATCGACGGTTTGTTAGTCGGGAACGGTCACTTAGGGGACTAACAATGGCAAAATAACGCTCCACTGCCACCACTACCAAAGAAAACGCAGACGCTGCTCCACCAATCCAAATAAAGTTTCCTCCAGTAAGGAACTTGCACATATGGTCTCCTGCGGTACCGTTAGGGTGGTGAAATGTCCATCTTATGACGTACTGTGGAGTGATAGCAAGAGCCACCATCATGTCTGACACAGCCAGGTTCACCAGCAGGTAATTAATGGGTGCTCTCATGCCGCGATACCGTAAAACCACGAAACACACCGCGCCGTTACCAAGGAGATTTATTATAACTACCAGTGAGAAGGCCACTGTAAGACCAAAATCAGTTGCTGTCATGGGGCTCATTGCTTCCGAAAAAAAAAAAAAAGGAAAATTAACATTGAAAAGAAATTATAACGTTTGGTTAATTTTCATTAAATTTCAGCTTGCTTTATTGAACTTCCGCTGAATCGAACTCGGAATCTTTGCACCATTAACTGGAATAGTTCGGGTAAAATGAAAATAAACAAAGAGGTTATAGGCAACTATAAAAAAAAAAGGATAGTTAAGGACAAGAAAAGAGTTAAACATATGGTTTGGTAAGGGATGGAGCCCAAACGGCAAGTCTGAAAAGTTTAGGCTAAAATTTCGGGACTCAGAAGGCGTGACATCAGTTCCCCTTTTAACGAATGACACTTCACCTCAAGCTAAGTGACTTACTCGCTCGTCACAAAAAAATTTTTGTGTTCATGGAGGCGATGACATCCCCGTGTTTCTTAGTATAGCAAGTTTCGCTTTTTTCTTTTGAAAGATTTGAAACATATTCTTGAGTCTGTCTGTTTCTTTCGCTGATTTTGTTAGCGTTGAAACCAGGGTTGAAAGGAGTAGAATAATGCTGTTAGTATTTTGATTTGATAGCCTCAGTACACCGTGATCTGTAACTTATCATCTGATGAAGGACATGAAGCCGTTAAGGATGATCAATCTACGAACAAAGAATAAGGCCAGATTATCTGCTTTTGTTATGTATTGTCCTTAAATTTATTTTTTTTTTATGCTGGAATTTAACGGGTTCCAACCGAGTTTAAAATATCGCCACTATACTCCAAAGATAAAACCAAATGAACTGACTGATCACGACATACAAATTATGAATCTCCCGGCTTCAAGGAGAAAAAACGTTCATCGCATTACAAGGTGTACGATGTACTAACACTTACCATTATCGGCGATTTACACTGTGATATAGTGTTGAAGAGAAACCGTTTTCTATCTCCTCAATATTACTGGCGTTCGTGCGCTATTTATGATGGACATGAGACCCGTGACCCTGAAAAAAAAAAGTTGTCAGTGTTAGTCACGTGTTTATGAAAGGAGGATACACCGCATGTCACGCTATCGCTCCGGATTGTATGACTTTTTAATTTTCAGGCTTTCTTTTCAAAGCAGCCGCTTAAGTTAAATGCATCACTGCGATGACCTTTCAGTGATCTTTCACTTTTTAAGTTTTAGAAAAGTTCCACAGTAACATTTTCTTTTTCTCAACTAATTATTCTGACTTATTTTTTTGTTACCATGTTACCATGTTTTTGTTATCAATAACATAGCTCCGACATCCGGTATCTTAGGCCATGTAAACACGACAGAAATTTTTCTCGTCCGGGCAAGAGCTTTTTGTTATTCCTACTATTCTTTACTTTCCAATTGAGTGCTTTCAGTTACAAATTATCCTCCCTCGGACATAAGTTGTAGTTCTTCGGTCAAATATCTCAATAAATAAGAGTGACTAACACCAATTTAGCTTATTTTGATATGTTTTATGATTTTAACAACAAAGTGAAACCATTTTTTCCCCACCAAAGCTACACCACAGTTTCTTTAGAAACTAAACCCCTTCATTCTTACCCCACTAGCCAACTGGAAGCGTAAGCACTGCCACCGGAGAAAATTTGTAAAGAAGGAAACCCCTCGTGGAGAAACGGCCGCAAGGCCCAAGTTGGGACGCTTTGCGCAGAATTCGAAACGAAATTGTAAGATTTTCCGTTTTAAAAGTCTAGATTAAAGAACGAAAATGTCGAAAAATTCCCCACCCCTGGACAGACCCTCGAATTTCTATGGCGCTCCGATCCAATAGACCCTTCCACGGTAGTTTCAACTTTTGACTGACTGGAACAAACTTATAAGTGAAAATCCGTCAACACAGCTAAAAAGAACGCGTTATAATTGGTAAAGATGCCAAGATTTAACGGGATTTGTTGAAAACTAACGAAGATATGCTCACAAAGTCGCCCAGTTTTACAGAAGTTTGTATGGTGCGGAGCAAGATCTTGCCATCCGTCCACCCCCTTTAACCAAACATCTGTAAAATGTCGCGACTTTTTCACCTGTTTTTTTTTTTGGTTCTGTTTTATTTGTTATAAAGAATGAAGAGAGGCAAATTTAGAAGGATTCGTATAGAGTCATTAGAGGCTAAACTAAAATCTCAGAGAAAATTTGCCCCGAAATGCTAGTTTTTAGCCAGTAGGCCTTTTAGATGTTTTTTTTTTTTGGAGTATTTCCGGAGTCAAATCCCGTAATATCACAAATTTAATTTTTATGACGTCATCAATGAAGAACTGCATACCTCGGTGGCAGATGAGCCATATACGTAGCCCCGTTTACGGGCAACTACAGACGATTGGCCCGCCGTCCGCCATGATTTGTGTTTGTTGTATGGCTCTAAAATCCTAAAATAAATACTAGATGACTAATCCAGCCACATGAAAGCTAAGTTTATTTTTTTCCCGAGAATCTCAATGTTTCCCAAGGCATAAGTAGAGATTAGGGAGAAAAAAAATCACCGGTATAGTTTCTCGGGGAAAAGTGATTTTAAACGTGATTTCCTGGTTGGAAAAACTTACCCAAATTTATTACAGTCGAGGCAGGTCAAGCGTATCCCCCAAGATTGCATTTATTTAATGAATCGATTATTTGAAAAATGAACCGTTAGTCGTTGCCGCAAACAGTCTCAAAGTTAAATCTGCATTCTTGCATGCGTAATGAACAGTGAATGTTTCACGATAACTCTTCTGTATTCGATAAGATTGAAAAAACTTTGAATAGATAAAATTGTTTTCAAGACATTTACATTAAATTCAAGAAAACTGAGCTGGCAGAAAGTTCATGACTATGTCGAGTGTGAATTCACTGCTCATTAGGTATGCAGGAGTCCAGAGATGAAACTGAAATCTACAACTACCAACGCATTCAACCTTCGAGTTATAAATTCATTAATGCAATCTTTAGGGTTAGCTTGACCTGCCCTGACTGTATAGTAAAGTAAATCTCAGCGAGCCGTCATCATTCACGGGTAACAATGCACTGTTACTCTATGAAGTCATAGATTTTTGCAATGTTGTCCGCTCTGACACTTGGCGGGAAAATGTCTTGCTGTTAGAGCTCATGTGTCCTCAAAGTAACCAATGAGTTTCGCGCTGTAGGTTGGGGAAAACGTAGTAAGGTAATTTTTACATATGGACCGACTTCGATCAGTCCGTCAGACAGAGGATGCATGAAACACACATACGTATAAGTTAAGACAAACGCTGGTTTTTCCAAGTCATTTAACGCTGTTTACTTAAATATATGACTTCTATATATTTACAGTGTCTTGATAAATGCAATTTAATTTGGCTAAAACAAAAAAAAACGCTCCTTAGTCTTAGAAGTCTTAATTAAAATTGTTGACTAAGCTGCATTGTCAGAAGTGTGTCGTTGCTTTGTCAGGCAACTGAGTTGTTGCAATTGCTACAACCAGTTGCAAAAATGTTGAGACACTCCCACGGAAAAACGACCTTTCTTGCTTCAAATCGCTCCTGGTCACAGGTCTGTAACATATAGTACTGACCTCCCTCCTCCCTCCCATTCAAAGTTGTTCCTCCAAGTTTTGAGTATGGTCTTGTATTGCCAGCAACTTTGATAAGGGGTGGAGGGGGTATCACAAGCACAAGATCGTGGACAGGCCATTTATGCCACAATATGGTACAGTGTCTCGAGTACTTTTGCAACTGGTTGTAGCAGGGGCGTAGCCAGCCCAAAGAGCTGTAGGCCCAGGCCTACAAATTTTTGATNTCGCGCTGTAGGTTGGGGAAAACGTTGTAAGGTAATTTTTACATATTGACCGACTTCGATCAGTCCGTCAGACAGAGGATGCATGAAACACACATACGTATAAGTTAAGACAAACGCTGGTTTTTCCAAGTCATTTAACGCTGTTTACTTAAATATATGACTTCTATATATTTACAGTGTCTTGATAAATGCAATTTAATTTGGCTAAAACAAAAAAAAACGCTCCTTAGTCTTAGAAGTCTTAATTAAAATTGTTGACTAAGCTGCATTGTCAGAAGTGTGTCGTTGCTTTGTCAGGCAACTGAGTTGTTGCAATTGCTACAACCAGTTGCAAAAATGTTGAGACACTCCCACGGAAAAACGACCTTTCTTGCTTCAAATCGCTCCTGGTCACAGGTCTGTAACATATAGTACTGACCTCCCTCCTCCCTCCCATTCAAAGTTGTTCCTCCAAGTTTTGAGTATGGTCTTGTATTGCCAGCAACTTTGATAAGGGGTGGAGGGGGTATCACAAGCACAAGATCGTGGACAGGCCATTTATGCCACAATATGGTACAGTGTCTCGAGTACTTTTGCAACTGGTTGTAGCAGGGGCGTAGCCAGCCCAAAGAGCTGTAGGCCCAGGCCTACAAATTTTTGATTTTATCACTCTACCGTTTGCTGTATTAATAATGCGTTGTTTTCATGGGGTCAGCTAAAAAGTTTAAGAGCTCAAAGTGTTAGTGAGGTCAGTGCCTACTAGTCATGTGTGCAGTTTTCAGGATGTGAGGAAATGAAAGTCAGCCAGGCCTACAAATAGTCGAAAAGCTGGATACGCCCCTGACTAGCTGCTGGAGCATTTGCTTCTCGTTGTTTCATGAAATTTGAATGTGAAGATGTTATCATTCCAAACCAAGGTAAATAACGAATAACAAGTAGCCACGGTGTTACTAAAAGTACCGCTTGCGGTTGTAGTTGCACACATTTTAGGCATCTTACTGATGAACGGTTATTGTGACAGTTAGATATTTTTCAGGCTGGAACAACAATATTGTTTTTAGTTTTCCTCCCTTCAATTAATGACAAAGTGACTGGTGAAACAAACGACATACAAACCACGATAGCTGATATTTTTAATTATGCCGCCTGAACCATCTTTTGCAGTAAATCTTTCCCTTTTCTAGTCTGTGTGTGAGGGAAGGCTAGAGAACGAACATCATCTTTCGTAACGCATGAAGGGTGGCGTGGATTTGCCAAAGCTGAGTGCTC